CTCCAGTGATCCTTCCGCCTCAGCCTTCCAAGTAACTGGAACTACAGGTGCGTGCTACCATGCCCGGCTAATCTTTGATCTACTGTAGAGATGAGGTCTCGCCAAGTTGCCCGGGCAGGTCTCGAACCCGCGAGCTCAGGCAGTCTACTCACCTCAGCCTCCCAAGGCACAGGATTACAGGCTGAGCCACTGAGCCCAGCTGTGTGTCCCTATTTCTATGAAATGTCCAGAACGGACCAATCCACGGAGACGGGACATAGATCTGTGGGGGCTGGGGAGAGACAGCGGGTGGGGATGGTTTTAGGGATGGTGAAAAAAGTCTGGGTAGTGGTGACCGTTGTACAGCATTTTGAATACACCGAAACCCACGGAATCGTACACTTTTTTTTTGAGTCAGAATCTCACTCTGTCACCCAGGCTGGAGGACAGGAGCATGCTCACGGCCACTGCAGCCTTGACCTGCTGGGCTCAGGAGATCCTTCCACCTCAGCCTTCCAAGTAGCTGGAACCACAGGCATTTTTGATGTATTATTTCTGCCCTTTGGCTTTGTTGTGCTATACAAGTGTTTGTGTGGGTGTATGTTTTCAGAACTCGCCAAGTTGCCCAGGCTGGTGTCGAACCCATGGGCTCAGGCAATCCTCTCACTTCAGCCTCCCAAAGTGTTGGGATTATAGGCGTGAGCTACCATACCCAGCAGAATTGTACGCTTTTAGGAGGCTGGATTTTATGGTATGTCAACTACAGCTCAAAAAGTAAAAAGAATGAGAGAGAGAGGGAGGGGTGGGGGGACTGACTTCCGGGCCCTGGTGCAGGGCTGCCCCGCTCCTCCTGGGATCCCTGGCTTCCTGGTGGCACCTCCCATGGCCGGCTCCCCTCTTGGCCACCAAAAAGAGCTTTAAAACCAAGTCAGATCCCAGTACCACGGCAGGGCTCAGCCTACCCTCAGGACACCTCCCTCCGCTCAGCTTCCACCCCAGCCTGGCAGGCTTCACCCCACCCCAGGGCCTTTGCACCTGTCACGGCTCTGCAAGTGCCCTGTTCCCGAGCCCTGTGCGCTTCCAATGGGCTCCTGCCTACCTCCTCTGAGAAGCCTCCCCTGACCCCCTCCCTACCCTGTGAGACCCTCTCACATATCTGCGTTTTTTCTCACCTTTATAACAACAGTAATTTTTTTCTCTTTGAGTCAGAGTCTCACTCTGTCACCCAGGCTGGAGCGCAGTGGCAGGCAGACAGCCACCCCAGCGTTGACCTGCTGGGCTCCGGCGATCCTTCCAGCTCAGCCTTCCAAGGAGCCGGAACTACCAGTGTGAGCCACCATGCCCGACTAATTTTTTGGATTTATTGCAGAGACGAGGTCTCGCCAAGTTGCCTGGGTTGGTCTTGAACCCGTGGGCTCAGGCAGTCCTCTCGCCTCGGCCTCCCAAAGTGCTGGGATGACAGGGGTCTGAGCCTCTGCACCCAGTCAGTACTTCTTTAAAAGAGCTAATTCTGAGCTTGGGGTGTCAGGGCTGAGCCCACGGTGACCAGAGCCTGCCTGGTGCCCAGTCAGCTTGAGGGCACGCGTGGCCCAGGGGACTGCGCCGGCCCGGAGGCGTCTTCCATGTCCCGAGGGGGGTCTCAGAGCCGCCATGGGGCCGACGCCCAGCCGCACCCACACACCCTGGCCTCGAGGCGCCGCCGAGGGCCGGGCGGGCAGGGGTTCTCACCTTTGGTCTCGTCCTCGTAGACCTTGACGCCCTGGGGGAGCGGCGCCCGGGGCAGCTGTGTGGTGCTGGACAGCACCCTGGTCGCCCCGGTCACCTTGTCCTTCTCCACAGTGATCTCCACCGAGTACACGGCTGGCACGAGAGTGGCGGGGTCACGCCATGGCCTGCCCACCCGCGCACCCCCCCCGCCGGGCTGCGGCCAAGCCAGGGTGGGGTCAGCAGTGCAGAGGCAAGCGGCGGGCAGGGGCCGGGCCGGGGGTGCCGGGGTTCTGGCTCCACACGGCCTTCCCTGGCCCCAGAGCCTTCTGTAGCTCCCCAGTGCCCTGTGATGGCCTGGATTCCTTCGCTTGGCCTTTGAGGCCCATCCTGCTGTCTCCCCCAGGACCCTTGTCTCTGTCCTCTGCACATGTCTTCTACTTGGCCCCTGAACTCTTGCCTCTCAAGCCTGAGTTCCACCCCAGTCTGTCTGCAGAGCTGCCCTCTCCCTGCTTCCGCCAGGGCACCAGCCCAGACTTGGCTTTAGCTATTTTAGAGTTGGGGTCTCACTCCGTGGCCCAGGCTGGGGGGCAGGGGCACGGTCAGTTGAAGCTCACAGCAGCCTCAACCTCCTGGGCTCAGAGGATCCTCCTGCCTCAGCCTCCCAAGTGGCTGGAACTCCAGGCGTGAGCCACCATGCCCAGATAATTATTTAGTTTTTTTTTTGAGTTGGAGTCTCACTCCGTCGCCCAGATTGGAGTGCAGTAGCCACTCCCGGTCACCACAGCCTCGACCTGCTGGGCTCCGGCGATCCTTCCGCCTCAGCC